TGGGCAGATGGGCTGTGGCTGGAGGAGGGGGTCATTGTGATGAGCCTGTGGGGTTTGTATTTCATCTGTGGTAGGGGAGGGTCTCTCTGTCCTTCCATGTTGGTGTCCAGGGCTGCTTTCCTCCCCCAGTGCTCTGCCCTGGTCCTGCCTCACCTTGGGCCTGGGGAATGGTATAGACTGTCCATGGACTGAGACCTTGGAGTCTCCAGGTAGCAGCATCACAGATAGGGATGCCCTGGGCTCTGGACAGGCTTCTGCTGTGACAGCCACTGCCTGTGAGGGGTCTGCTGAGACTTGCCTCAAGGAAGAGAAGTTGCTGTCCTCATCCACAGCCTCCGGCTTTTCCTTCAAGGGCACCTGCTCAAGGTCACCATGAGGGTGTCTGGCCCTGAGCTGGAGGACCCACCATGACCACAGGCTGACCTGCTCCTTCTCTAGGTCCTCACTGGTCTCTACTAACAGGGGACTGGACTGGTTGAGTCACCCAGGGAAGGCCCTGCAGGGGCTGGCCAGTGTTTGGTCCACCCAGCCCTGAGGAGCAGGCTCACAAACTCCTAGGACCCCTGCAACAACCAGAAGGTCTTCACTATGACCAGCCTGGACCCTGCAGATGCAGCCCCCATGACTGTGACCAACATGGACCCTGCAGAGGCAGCCCCCATGAGTGTGCTCAGGTGCTAAAGGCACAGCCTGGGGCTTCCTGCACAAGGGCCCAGGCTGGCCTCAGCTCTGATCTGTCCCTCTTCCTCTGGGGACAGTGTGGAGAAAGTGCCTTCCTGCCAGCCTCCCTGGCTCCCTCTCCATCCAGAGCCTCAGAGCCCTGAAATCCTGTTCCTCCTCTAATTCTCTGGCCACGTCCCTTGGACTGCACAAGCAGGTGCCCTGTTGTGCTCTCCTTCATGACGGCAGCATGCAGGGTGACTGCTCCCTGGCCACACAGATGCACAGGCCACCTGCTACAGGGCCTCCAATCCCACCCACTGCAGAACACCACTGAGCACCAGCTGTGCCTTCATTAACTGCTGTGCAGGAGCTGCACTGGCATTGGGGGTCAGAGCCCATGCAAGAGGGCAGGACAGACACCACTTCCTGCAGTGAAGAAGAGACACATGTGTCCTTAGGGGCACTGAGGACATAACCCATGAGGTGGTGGCAGGTCCAAGGTCTCCCCACTGTGCAGGCCTGGTGCAGGCACTGTGCAAACCTGACTCCAGGGATCCCTGGGATCTGCTCCTGATGGTCCTCATGGCCAGAAGAGAAGTGGGTGCTCAGAGAGGGGGACAGCCTGAGAGCTGAAGCAGAATGTGTGTGCTCCATGTCAGATGCCCATCTAACCAGCCACATTAGCAAGTTATAAAGAACTTAATAAAACAGAAACCGAAACACTAGCTAATTATCAAAGAGTTAATAAAGCAGGAATGTGGAAACACATTTATGAGAATCTCTAGGTTGAGATTTAAGCATGAAAACAGAATTTCCTACAACGTTAGGAGAACCTTCCTGCCATTCCACAGTGGGCTGGGTTCAGAGAGTGACCAGGTCAGCATGAGGAGGGACCAGGTAAATCAAGGTGTATATGTGGATTGCGGCACCAGGAAATCATTACCAGGAGGCAGAGGTCATCAAAAGGGACCTTCTGGTCAGGAGAAGAGAGGATCCCTGTGGTCCACTAAGTTGGAAACCACCTCACCCCACGTGGCTGTGAAGATGTCAGACTCTGGAAACATCTGCATCACACACCAACAGCCCGTGCAGGGCAGGGGTAGGGCCTCACCACTGAGCAGCAGAAGAGGGTCACACCTGCACATGCTGGGGAGAGTGCCTGAGAGGACACTGCAGCTCCTGAGCAGAAGCTCTCCTTCATCTGCCCCCAGGACAGTCCAAATCCACACCCCATGAGATTCCTCCCAGGGTGGGATTGCTCAGAGCACCAGGAAAACCTGACAGAGAGTTGCTGGTGGAGGCAGGGCCTGGAGCTGGGGGGAGCTGTGGGAGGGCAGAGTGGACTGCACCTCTCCTTCAAGGGTGACCTTCACTCAGGCCTGGGAGCTGCCCTCCTGGGTGATAGACCCAACCTGATCTTTTCTTAAAATTGGGAGCAATCTTGCCCCAAAGCCATGAAAAGATAATTTCGGCTTTAATATAAATTACTGCAAATTCTGAACCTGCTTGGAATGTCTGCCCGTGCCTTGAACTCACCCATGCCTGGCTCTCTGACCAGATAGCAGCCCTCTCTGAAACTTTAGTGACACCTCATAAATATTGGCCTTCCCTGGCCAGACAATGACCCTCTCTGAGGCTCTAATGGTCCTCATAAATTCTGATGTTGAGGCCAGCAAAAAATGTAACCTACCATTAGTGTGATGCTTGTCAGAGTTCTGTTATCTGTAACCCCCCTTTGTGTAACATTCTGGGCTATAAAGCTGGGCTGCAGGAAAGCTGGGGTGCTGTCTTGTTCCTGCCATTTTGGGAGGGAGAGGCATCCCAACCGGTCGGAATAATAAGCTTGCTTTAATTTGATTTTAATTGGAGTCAGTGGTCTCTTCATGTGTCCTGGTCTAACACTGGGCACTTGCTGTGGACGACGGAAACCCCAGGCTCACAGGACATCCTACAGATGGCAGCCACCTGTGTGTCATAAGAAGAAGCAGCCCACAGCCCTCCACTGTGGAAAGGACAGGTGGACTTGGAAATCCCATGGCAGGAGCACATGTCAGCAAGAAAACCAACCAGGGGCAGCTGGCTGTAGGGCAGCCCAGGGCCCTGGGAGTTCCCAGCTCCATGCCACAGGCCCTCACCTGGGCCTCACACTCACTCTGGTGACAGGACCTGAACTGGCCCTGGCTCTCCAGACAGGCCCAGGTGAGAAGCTCCACACATAAAGACAGAAGGTCCTCTGCTCCTCAGTGCTCTCCTGAGGGACCTGGGCCCAGCTGGACCCCAGGGGAAGCTCACTGAGGGGGTCTGACACCTGCCACCACCTGGAGTGTGTCCTTCAGGCCCAGCCTCTTCTCCTAACATAGGACCTAAAACTCTGCTCCTCAGCTTTGCATCCCTGAAGCAGGTACCTGAGACCATCAGCACATAAACAGGATCTTTATTATGGATGAAGACATTAAACCTCCAGTCCATGCTCAGCTGAGTCCTTTGCATTTACACCTTTCCTGGATGTGCCAGGGGCAATGCAGAGAGCCCCCTGTGGGGAAATCACTCTCCATGTGGCTAGGAATCAAAGGGGAGGGAGGAAGAGATGGGGTCTGACAATCCCCTTGCATGGAATGTCCATGGTGATTGGTATAAATTCCCCAAGTCCACATGTCCCAAGGGATCCCCCACTGCCCAAGGAGCTCAGAACAACCTTATGACATGGAATTTGGGGAGGACAGTGATGCACATTAATCATTCTATCCCTGGACACAAAACTTTCACGTCCATCTCATAATGCAGAACACATTCAGTCCTCATCCTTGAGACCCTAAAGGCACAAATACTTCAGCAGAGCTCAGAAGTACAGTGCAAAGACTCCAAAAGTTTCAGGGAAAACTCGACTCTGTGCCTTAAATCAAAGAGGGGTCACACACTCCTAAGCTCTATGGAAAGAGTGATATTCCCATTTCAAAAGGAAAAAAACACAGATATGTTGAGGGGGACTGAAGCCCAGCAGGACTTTCATTAAACCCAGTGCTCCAATTCTATCCTCAGGGTCACTCTACGGGGAGAAGGGTGAGGACTCTGGGCAGGCCCAGCCCCAGACCAGGTGGACAGAGTCCCCTGGTCTCACTCTCAGTGAGCTTGGCCTGCAGCCTGCATCCTTCTAAACAACTGCTTCTCACTGATGGCTCCTCTGATCCTGGGGTCTCCTCAGCAGCCCTGACTTCACCTCACAGCCCCATGCATCACCTGCCAGGGCTGCCAGCAGGGACCCTGACCCCTGACCCCCATCTGACCTCCCAGCCCTTCCTTTCAAGTATTCATGTAAGCCTCCCTGACCCTGTAGCTCTCACAGTCTGCCCCCTGCAAAGCCAGCATGGTGTGGCTGAGGACAAGGTCACCCTCAGCAGGGAGCAGGTCCTGGCCTCCCTTGAACCAGGGCTCGGAACCTCTGGGCCCCTTGATGGCTGAACAGGGGAAACCACGCCCTGGGCAGTCCTGGGTCAGGAGCCCAGAGCTCTCTCCCACAGGCCCTGCCCTGGAGGGTCTTTCAGGTCTTCATGTCTGCCTCTGAGCTGGGGAAGCTGGGCCTTGTTGATCCCTGGGATCCTGAAACACCCTCCATCCTCTGGGTGCAAGGCCTGGGCTGCTCCCAGTGGAGCTGCTGGCCTCCCCCTCCTGGCCACAGCTCCTGGGCAGCACCACAAGTGTGCTGCTCTCCTGGCCAAAGTGCAAAGCACCAGCTCTGCCTGCACTGCCCCTCTCTGCCCCTCCCTGTCCTGCACATGGCCTGACATCAGTCAGGGGGCCACATGCCAGGGCCTCACCTGTGCCCTTGAGATTGTCCAGCCCACAGTCTGCTCCAGCCTGAGTGAGCCCAGCTCCCAGCAAGTGTGAGGTCATCCACAAAACAGGTTCTGAGAAAGTCATTAAGTGTGTCCACCTGTGAGTTATAGGAGGTTCAGGGGACCACACCTGTCCAGGGTAAGAGCAGAAGCCTAAATACTCAACTTGCTCTTGCCAGATATGAGCTGTTGGGCACAGTGCATCACCACTCAAACTTCTGTGTCATTTCAGAACTGCATCATGGAATTGACCCTGATCTCTCTGTCATGATTATGTAGATGTGGAAAACACATTAATGGATGATGTGGGCAGAATAGAAACATACACAAAAGCAGTTTTACTTTCCTAAATGCTGCTGTGTGCTTCTAACTGCACCTTATGCTCACCTCTACCCTAAATGCTCCTCTAGGAGGCCTCCACCCAGAGCTCTATATAGCAGGAGGACATGCAAATAGGGCCTCCCTCTGCTCATGAAAACCAGCCCACCTGACCCTGCAGCTCTGCACAGGAGCCCAGCCCTGGACTCCCAGCTCAGCCCACTCAGTGATCAGGACTGAGCACAGCTGCTCACCATGGAGAGTGTGTTCAGCTGGGTTTTCCTGGTGGCTGTTTTCAAAGGTAATGAATGGAGAACCAGAGATCCTGAGTGGGTGAGTGGACAGGAGTGAGAGAAAGAGTGGATGAGTGCCAGTGTCCTGACCAGGCTGCCTCTGTGTTTGCAGGTGTCCAGTGTGAGGTGCAGCTGGTGGAGTCTGGGGGAGGCCTGGTGCAGCCTGGGGGTTCCCTGCGACTCTCCTGTGCAGCCTCTGGATTCACCTTCAGTGACTACTGGATGAGCTGGGTCCGCCAGGCTCCAGGGAAGGGGCTGGAGTGGGTTGGAGAAATTAATAAAAATGGTGGTAGCACCTACTACCCAGACTCTGTGAAGGGCCGATTCACCATCTCCAGAGACAACTCCAAGAACACGCTGTACCTGCAAATGGGCAGTCTGAGAACTGAGGACACAGCCACCTATTACTGTGCTAGAGACACAGTGAGGGGACCTCAGTGTGAGCCCAGACACAAACCTCCCTGCAGGGCGCCTAGGGCCAGCAGGGGGCGCTCAGCACACAGGGAGCTCAGGGTCACCCAGGAGCAGGTGCAGAGGAGGTGATGGTAGACTTCCTCCCTCTGGGGGCCTCTCTTCTCCATGATCCAGCTTTCTAGGAGAGCTCTCTGGACATATTTTTTCTACTAATGTCTTATGTCTCTGAAGAGAACAATTTGGGTTTTAAATTTATACTTTCTTTTTTCATTGTTGCACCATAATTATAAATAATACTGCATTTCAATTGGACACAACTACACAATCATGGGACATAATTTCTTCACTTCTGTCCCCTGCCATCTCCCTTTCCCTCCCTCCTCTCTACCCGTCCCTCCTGACCCTTTTCCCTTTCTTTTCTCCACAGATCTTTTCTATAATTTGGCTTCATTAGTGCCTCTTAGAGCACATAAAGGGGGCATCCACTGTGCCATCCTCACACAGGACACAGGAATGCTTCCTCAGTGTCATTCCACTGCTTGTCCCATTTCTGTTCCCCTACCTCACCCCTGATCCCCTTCCTCTCCTCCTGCTCCCTCTTCTGTTTCCAGGGGACTCCTCCCAGGACTTTTCCCCTTTTGTGATCTGAAATTCGCATTTGAGATTAAACACTTGACATTTCTCCCTCTGATTCTGGCTGAATAAACTTGATATTCTCCAGTTCCATCCATTGACCAGGAAATGCCATATTTTCTCTCTTCCCTGTGGCTGAGTGAAACACTGTTCTGTGCATATGCCACCTTCCCTTTATCCATTCATCTGTTGATGGACATCTGGGAAAGTTATGTAATATGGCTCTTTTCAGGCCCACTGGTGTAAACACTGATGTGGCTAGATAGCTGTGCTGTGCTGATCTGGGGTCTTTTGGATAAACACCGAGGAGGGTAGCTGGGTCACACCGTGGCTCCATTCCTGGTCTTCATGAAATGTCCATTCTGCTTTCTAGAATGGCAGCACTAATTTGAAGTCCCAGCAATAACACATCCGTACAACTCTTTCCCACATCTTTGCTGATACTTTTTATTATCTGTGTTCTTCATGATCACCTTCTGATTGGGACTGAGATGAATTCTAAACATAATTTCAATTTTCATTTCTTTATTGGTAGAAGTATTGTGTATCTTTTCCTATATTTGTTGGCCACATAGATTTTCTCTCATGAGAAATGTCCCCTTAGCTCTTTCTCATTTATTTATTGGGCTATTTGGTCTGGTCATTAAGTGTTTTGTGTTGTCTATATATTATGTGTATTTGTGCCCTATCTGAGGAGCAGGTGACAATGATGTCCTATTCCCAAGGCTCTCTCCTCACACTGTGGCTGGATTCCATTGCTGTGCTGAAGGTTTTAATTTGATACTGTCCTGCTTACTGATTCCTGGATTTGACTCTTACACTTTAGTGACCTTTTTGAGGAAATCTGTGTCTGTGTAGGTACAGAGGATGGTTGTTGCAATATAGCCCTTGCAGAGTTGATATTTTATAGGGTGAGGGATAGTGACCTAGTATATTCTTTTACATATTGATATTCAGTTTTCCCAGCACTCTCTCTTGAAAAGGCTATAATTTCTGCAACATGATTTTGGAAACTCTGACAAGTGCCAGATAAGTGCACTTAGGTTGGTCTGTCTCTGTACCTCCTACTCTGTCCCCTTGGTGTCCATGTCTGCTTTGGTGACAGTGCCATGCTGGTTCAGTTACTACAGCTCCGTCAAGTAATTTGAGGTTACATGTTGTCATGTCTCCAGAAATCAAATATCAGAAGACTCAATCAACAAAATTAGAGAGAAAACAGAAGATATTGCTGCTGAAATTCAGAATTATAAACTATTTTTACAAATATCCTTCAGTAACCTAGAAAAAAAGTAAAGAGATTGACAAAATTCTAAATGCAGGTCATCTACACAAATTGTAGCACAAGAATCTACAAATGTAAAAAAAAAATATTAAGCAATGAAACTGAACAACCATTAAAGACCTTCCACAAGAGGAGAGCCCAGAAGGATGGTTTGCAGTTGGTTCTAAGAGAGAAGTTTCACCCTCCTCTCCTCTCACTCTTCTCCAGCTTCCTCAATTGGGAGAGAATATGGGCCCTTGGCTTCTGCGTCTGGCCTCCTTCATCAGCTTGATGGTCCCAGTTCCACCTGTTCCCCAGCAAATGCTGTCACTCCATTGTCTTCCTGGCTGAAGACCCCACTGTGCACAGACTCCAAGCTTTCTTCATCTACACCAGCCGCTGTAGGGTGCAGCCTGTCAGAGCTTCTGCTGGAAAGTTGACCAGTTCGTCTTCTTCATGAAGAGCCAGTGTTGCTTCTCTCCTGGAAAATCCTTCAAGACCTTGTTTTCCCATGATATTGTGGGCCCAGGAGATGCCAGCCCTGGCAGTTGTCCACAGACCTTCCCTGGACAAGGGCTTAACCACTTGGTCATTGCTAGGATGGTTCAGGGGATTCCTAGACAACTGCCCAATCCCTGCATTACAAGTTAATTTTTCCCCATGTTGAACCTATCCCAGTGCATAATATCTGACCTGTTCCTCCATCCTCATGGTGGCCCAGACCCCAGGGGACAACATCTGACAGGTTCCTCCATCCACATACTCTTTCATCCCAGTTGATTCTGTGTGACCTGTTACCCCTCCCCATGCTCACTCTATATCAAGTGGATAATATATAACATATTGCTGCCTCTGCATGTAAAACCTGTCCACAAGGCATGATATCAGCGCTGTCACACCATCTGACACTTGACTGTCCTCAGTGGATAATATCTACCTGTTACTCTGTTAACATGCTGCCCTGTCCCCAGTGGATAATATCTGACCTGTCCCTCCATCCCCGTGCTGGTAAGTCCACAGTAGATGACATCTGACCTGTTATCCATGCTGGCCTGTACCCAGTGGATACTATCTGGCCTCATAACCCATCTACACACTGGCCCTGTCCCCAGTGGATACTGTCTGATGTATTACCTGATCCCCAAGCTTGCCTTTCTACAGTGGTAATCCCTGATCTGTTACAGCATCCCCATTTGTCCTGTCCCAGTGGATAACATCTGCATGTATAAAACTAACCCTACCTAATTCAGTTAGTGTGGCATTCGCTGTCCTTAATAATTCATATCCTCCTCCAGTGAAGCCGTCTGCCCTTGGCCGTGTCTTTCCTGGGTTTGGACTCATGATGTGACCTGTGTGTCTGTCCCTGATCTGCTCAGGCTGCCTGCTGCTCCTAGGCTCAGCTGGGCAGGGTGCACAGTTCTGGAAATGCATGCATCTGCTCATGCATGTTATTGGGGAAATACAAACAGGTGGCCTAATGACCACTTTTATTCCTAAGGGCTCAGAAACACCTGGTTGAGAAGGTATTATGTGTTTCATTCTTTCCTCTCTGTGTCACCCATAACATAAATAATCCTTTCCTAAATGGAGACTGAAGAGTCCCATGGGCTCCTTGTTCTTTCCACCTGAGGAGTGCATTCACAGCACCTTGGTCAGGTGTTCCTGGAGCAGCTGGGCCTCACAGTCCTGGGGGCTGCATGGTGCTGGGGCCACTCTGGCAGCCTGGACAGCTGAGGGGCTGCTGGAAGAGCAGCAGAGGTGCAGTCCATCTGTCCCCAAGGGCTGCCTGGGGTGGCCCTCCCGCAGGCCCAGGTCAGCAGTGCAGCAGGCCCCATGAGTGCAGAGGTGGCTGTCAGATTAGAGGACAGCACAGGGCAGGCAGCACCTGGGGACAAGGGCGAGATGCTCTCAGCACCCAGGGCTGGCTTTGCACCTCCACAGGGACTCTGTGCAGTGGCTGCTCAGGGCCTGCTGAGCTGCTCTGGGGACCTTGTTAGGGGTTAGAGGTTCCTGCAATGCCACCTGGGGTCCTGGGAAAGGTGTGTGTCCCTTACAGCTGGCCCTGCTCTCAGCATGCCCTGCCACTCAGGGAGGGATCAAGGCTCTTCCCCGCTTTGTACAAGTGTGGACTTATGGCCAGCTGCATCCTGTGTCTGCAGGTGGATGGACAGTTCCTCCCTGACCAGCACACAGCTGGGGAGGGAGGCTGAAGGGAGCAGCCAGCCAGCTGCTTCCCAGGACCCTGGGTGGGGTCCCTGCATAACTCTGTGCAGTGGAGCCTGGTGTGGGGCCCAGGCTGGCTCTGCTCTGTCCCCACCACTGCTGGGGCCTGTTTCCCAGAAGTTCCCAAACTGTGCTGGGAGCTGGGGGCTCAGTGGCTCCAGCAGCACAGGTGCCGCCTGTCAGGGGTGAAGGATGATTGACAGCTCCTGGTGTGGCAGGGGCAGAGGCAGCACCTGCAAAAAGGGCCCACCTGAGGGTGGCTTCAGCATAGGTCCTGTTTGTGCTCTGTGTGGTGGGGGCAGGATGAGCACTCCCTCCCTCCACAGTGCTCTGTCCTGCACCAGTGGCCATAGACTGACCCAGGCCTATGGGCAGGGAGAAGAGCAGGGGCCTCTGCAGCTGCTTCTTCCACTAAGACAGCCTCCCAGGGACCTGGCCGTGTAAACTAAAGTGCAAATTTCACATGTGCTAAGTGTGTGGACGTTTTTGGTTCAAGAACACTCAAACATACAGAAAGCATCCTTTGTAAACATCTGGAAAGTAACTGGATTACAGGTTTACATTTGAAGCACACGTCCACAGCTTTTCAGATAAAAAGAATAAATTTTTGATGGCTCAGTCTGACAGTGAACTCTCAGGTGTATGTCAAGATACAGAGGATGGGTCCCTAAAATTAATGTCTAACCTGCTTGGGCCACTCAGAGGTGAGGGAGAACGTGGATGCCCTGGTTCTCCCAGTGGGCCCTGGGTGCTCAGGTCATGGCCTGTCCAGCTCTGTGCTTCATAGCACCAAGGTGAGCCCAGCCAGTGTGCCTGCTCCCCTGCCATAGGGCTTGTCCCCTTGGTCCTGGCCACAGGCAAGCCTTCTCCTGCAGTCCTGAGCTTCAGGACTTGGAGAGGCTCTTCTGCAGTCTTGGATGTTCACCTCACAGGGCAGTATGACTGGGCACAGTGTGCATGACACCAACAACTGCCATGGGAGACCCTCACCTACCACAGGACCATAGTGTTG